GAAAGTAACCGTTGCTTTTTATTTGATTAATACCACATGCTTTAAAGCGAAAATGTATGTATAACGGCTGCAACACATTTCTTTCCTTCTACTTTCAACTAGAATAACTTACTATATCAATACATCAGTTTACGTTTTCTACATATATATTTTTTCTTTATCATGTCGTTTCCTACGAAAAATATACGTAAACTATATAATTTTGTACCATATCTGTTAATATCTGTCAATATAAAATATTAATAATATAAAACATTAACATATCTGTTATTATAAAATAATAAAATAATGCAACATATTATATATATATACATATTTCATCTTTCATCTTTCCAGCTTGCTCTGCTTTGATGCTGATATCTTTGCTCGTCGATCTCTTTTTTTTTCATGAAGAGGATATTTTCTACGGAATATATGTATATTCTATGCATACATATGTCATTTTATATATATATATGTATATATATATATACATATATAAAAAAAAAGAGATCGATGAGCAAAGATATCAGCATCAAAAGCAGAGCAAGCTGGAAAGATGAAAGCCAACATGAAGGTCGAGACACATTAACTTTCCCATGGACCGTGACCGTCGCCGAGTGACGGTCCAATGGCTAATTGACTATCAAATAGAAAATTATTCAGGACTCAAGAAAATCTCGACAGCTAATTAACCGTCGTACATCGTCCGCCGCTCGTCTCAGTCTCGCCGAAACCATCAAAATATACCACCAGTGTGTTTTACAAACTTTGTTTTCACAAATGCCAGCGAAGTCGAATCATCTCGATAGGTGATGGTTAGGTCGAGGCGATAACGGTTCTCGAGAGGAACGGTTATCGACGCCGCGCGCAGAACGGAACGCGAGATCGACGCGAGAGTGGCAAACGCGGATGGAAAAGGCCGGTGAGAGACAACGCGGCCGGCGGATGACCGCTCTCGACAGGTTCGTCGAAAGCCGCGGTAACGGATCACCTCCCGCGAGAAGGGATATCTCGCAGGGCGAGAAGGCGATTCCCCGGGGGCGAAGTTTCGGGGGACGCGAAGCGTGAAATTGCCGCGATCGGCACGCGTACGTCGAACGACACGAAAGCGAATAATGGGAGCCCTCTTTTCTCTCTCTCTCTCTCTCTCTCTCTCTCTCGCCATGACTATACGAATCGTCGCAGATTTATCTCGCTCAAGTCGCGCCTCGGTGCTTCCCGCGGCGCGGCGGAGATATTGCGGCACAGCATCCTCCGTTGCCAGTCGATGCACCGGTGATCTTCGGCAACGGTGCGTAACTCCGGTCGGCGCGGTGTTGCGAAGGAAATTTGGAAAACAAGATATCAACGGTCCATCTACCTTGACATGTAAAATTAATTTCATACGCATAAGTTTCGTAAGATCGTACAGGTATAATCCGTTTAGATCTCTCCATGTGACGGCCTATCAATGTGTTCGAATCAAATTTCTTCACGGATCTTTCCTCTTTCGTTTAAATATGTATTGCTTTACAGTGCATTAAATACAAATTATATACAGATTACGTAAAAATGTATGTTATATAAAAATCCGAATATATAGCTACAAGGAAATTTGGAACCAGATATTGACTGTCTTCCTTGACATGCAAAATTAATTTCGTATGCATAAGTATTTCTCGAAATCGTATACAGATATCTGTTTAGATCTCTCGACGACTATATCAATTTGTTTAAATCAAGTTTCTTCGCAACGTAGATCTCTTCTTTTCGTTTGAACATTATTTCATAACGTATTAAATATAAATTGTATAAGTCATGTAAAAATTGAATATAAGTTACATAAATCCGAATAGTTACAAAATAATTACGCAAGCCTGTTAAAGAAAGAACTTCTTTTTTTCTTCGTTATAAGTATTCTTTAAACATTCGGTGAAGAAGTCGGTGAAAAAAAAAATGAACGGACGCATCCGCGATTTGTAGCAGCAATATTTGCGGCATTATGAAAGAAATAGCAACTTATCAAAGAAAATGTTATCGTAACAGCGCGTTTACAAACAAAACACACACACACACACAAACACGACACTGTTTACGGTAGCGAATGACGGTGCAACGATAAATCAACAGAGGATGCAACATTTATAAAGCGACGTATGCGTGCAACATCACCGGCGTTCTGTATTTCGAAAAGATAGTTGGGAAAGTGCGAATCCCGATGAACAGCGCGATACGCGATCTATCCTCCGACAAGTTGGCGCGACCACTCGATTGAGACGGTAACGCGCGGCGGCGGCGGCGGCGGCGGCGGGTTGCGAAAGGCGCGAGAACAGCGTAAATGAAATAATGCACCGCGCGGAATCGGCCGCGGAATAGAATGAATGGACGGTATAAATATAACATGTTACTTGGCCGCGGCGCGCGAGAAACGTAAGAAGAAATCGTAGGGCGACGGAGGCGGAGATCTGGGGGGCTCTCCGAAGCGTGAAATTGGCACGTATCGGAACGCGTTAGAATACATATACGGAACAAGTGATCGGCGGAAAGCACGGCGAGAGAGATCTTCAAGGCAGCCTCGGATCCGCGGTATTCGAAAGGTCCTGAGCACTTTTATTTTCAAATATCACAGAAATAAACAGGAATGAACGTTCGACAGTTTTAAAGCTTTCAAGCTTGGGAAGATAGAAATTGAAATCTCGACGACTGTATTTCGGTCACATAATTCCTTTCTCTCAAAACTTATCCCATTATTTTATATATCCTATCATTTTCTCTTCCTTTTACTTGTCTATTTTCTACAAAAATTCTATCCCTCACTGTCCCTTTCTCTTCCTTTTTCTCTCCTTTGAAATTCCTTTCGTTGTTAAAATTACATCGTGCGTTACATAAATATTAACTGCGGTTCTTAATGAAGAATCCTGTGACAGTGAAGGCTAGAATTGCGATAATGAAAAGGGAGAGGAACGAACACGGGCTGCGTCTTCCGCGTGACGGCGAACAAGGACGCTCGTCGCGGAGAAACGCGAGAACACACAACGCGAATCCTCCCCTGATGGCTGTGCGCTGTCGCGCTGCTGCTCGCGCAGCAGTGGAAATAAGAGAGGAGCGGAGAAGGATTTATTTGCCGGGCCCGCTGCGGTTGCGAAAGTATCGCGAATTACGCGTTATAATTACGAGCGCTGATTGCATTTCTGATTGGCCGCCGCGCGGAGCGCACGGCGAATCTCCTAACGTCGTGTAATGACAAACGATTAGCCCACCGAGCGTGCGCTATTAAGGTAATGGACGAGCAATTTGTTGTTGTATAACACGGGATACTGATTTTTAAGGAAAAAAATTAGATAGTATAATTGATTATAGACTTTCCTATTTATTTGAAAACATCGCATATGCAAATGTAGAATCTTAACGATTTATTGTTATAGCATTTAATTAAAAATCGTTGCACCACGAAATACTATCGTTTCCGTATTGATTTTTATCATTTATAATTTGTTTTTAAATCACATATTTATAATCGTAAACATTAAAATTTTTAGTATAATAATATTAGAAAGTATATGTAATATATCTATATATCCTCAGATAAATTATCTTATATTACGTACTTTAGTTACTTATAGTTGTCTTCAGTATTGGATCAAAAAATTATCTCCTTAATTGGAACATCAATTGGGATCAACGCAATTATTAATGCGCAAGAGGCCACTGCAGAAGAGCTCAGTAGGTAACGGAACAATCCTCGACAAGACTGACCCAGTATTAGTCCGATGGATGAATAGGAAAGCAAAATCGAGTAAAACGAATGGACACGGATTCCAGCGGAAGTGGGCTTGGCGCGGGAGAACAAGGGCCGGATGCACAAAGCAAGATTGACTTTCGACGAGACGCAAAAATGGAAATAAAATGAAATTTTATGATGTCCCGAGGACCAGTCCGAGCCCCACTGCGCTGACCTACTTGCGATACTTTATCGTGGGCCCCCAATCACTTTCATACCGAGCAACTCGTCTTAGAACCTAGGTCAGTGAGTGTTCCTGGCGACCCTTTTTTATGACTGCAGAACTCAACTTTTCCTTCCGTAATCCGAGACGTCTAAGATTGATTTAATCACAAGATTGTACACGAAAGTGCAATAAATAGCTTCAAGTTGGTACTTTCACGACATTAATTAATGTTACTCTCAATTATTGCAAAGAATTACAAACTTATTTTTTTTCAAATATTTCAATACATTCTATTTAATTAAATTATGTTTAATTTAGAATTCGGCTAAATTAATTTAATTGTGACTAGAATCAAGCATATTCTGATAGAAATCATAATTAATGAACTCTTATACACGGAAACTTATATTTCCACGCAAACTTATGGAAGCAAAATTAGAATTTGAATTGTTTTTCGATACATCCAAATAGGATATATCGCACCCAAAAAAAAAATAATTTTAATATTAATGGAATCCGCTAAATCTTAGAGGATTTTATTCTTGTACATGGCCTCAAGAGAAATCCTCTGAAATTAAGAGGAAAATATTCTGTGCACAATATTCTAATAGTTAGAATAACTTCGTATTGCATTTACAGTACAAGTCTTGTACTGTAAATCTATATTTATAATTCACATTATTTATACTGTAGTTTTTCAGTATTTGCAATGAATAACGGAACACAGCCTTACTGTCTGTTTTCGCAAATGCAGCGCAACACTTCAATCAATTGTCACGGCAGAACGCAGCGATACACATTGCTTTTCGTGTTACTCGTATCGCACACAAGAGGACATTTCCGCTTGAAATAAACATATTCCTCTTAATACAAGAGCAAAACCGAAAAATAATATCTAATAGATTTTAGATGAACAGTTCACTTTATTGGAAGAGGAATACTCTTTCTGTAAAAGTTTTCGCTTAGAATATGGGATTAGAGGAAATTTCACTTTATAACTAGAATATTTTTTTGGGGTGCGTTAAATTTGGATGTCTATTCGATCCGAATCTCGATTTCACTCCCGAGGAGCATACATTTAGATTTCGCAAAGATTCGGCGAGATGGACGTCTCGTGTGTTACAGCTCGAGTATTCGAGACAATCGAAGATCGGAAAACAATCAGCGGACGATAGCCCTGATGATTCAGGAAACGTCCGCCCCGAAGCAACTTTTTCGCCGTTTTCGCCACAGCCGCCATTCCCCTGTCCCGTCTATTTTCAGGAGTTTATCGAAGCAAGACATCTCGCAATGCTCAGAAATATATGACAACCTACACCGAGCGACATGCATAATCGACCGTGCGTATCGTTCTTGCGTTCAAATTAAATAATATTAACAATACCTATACACTTATAGAAATGACAGACCGGACTCTCTCATCGTTAATCATGTGAAATAACGCTATCAATAATTGATGCATCGTTGAGCAACGGTGATTACCGTTATAATAGTCTCGAATAATATTCGCAACGCCGCAGTGTACATAATCCGGGCGTTTTTCTAACTCATTACGTCAGGCGCGAAATTAGTGAAAAGTCACTTGTGCCACAATCATACTTCGAGATCTGATGTATTCGTACTTGGCTGTTTACCGTTAAACACGATCGCCTGATTATATCTTCTATTTTGTACCATATAATAACCGTCTGAGAATCAGACGACCGCTAAATACAGGAAGCGGAAGTGACCCTAATACGCGGTGAGATCGCTTTTAGGTCAGCTATGCGGCGGCATCTTAAAAAAAAAAAAAAATGTTGGACAAATCCTGTCACCTCCAGCGGCCGGTGTCTAGCACGCGTGAGGTCGCGCGAATGTAAAAAATCGAGATGCGTTAATAACGCACCTTGACGCGGGACGTTGCTTATTCCGAGAAGAGCCGGTCGTCGCGTCGTCGCGGTCGCGTTTATGTCTCGCTCCTCGGAAGAATGCAGTTTATAGGTCGTACATTACGTACCTCGTGTTACGTGCGAGCGGTTGGTCGTTGTTGAGCACGCGTGTACGGGGGAAGGGGGGGGGCGAGCGCTCGCGAGAGTCGCGGACTAAACCGAATAAAATACAATTTATTGCGCGCCGGTGATATACCGCCGCCGTGAGTAATTACTTAGCCGACGCAACCGCGCGCGAGATGACTTCTCGACTGTAAGCCGGTATTGGCGCGGAATATCCTCTGCTGAAATTAATCCGCCGCTAATGACCGGTTACGGCAATGTGCAAGGTCGCCGGACGATTAACCTTTTCGATACCACTTTGCTGGCATGCAGAAATTGTAAAGCATTCATATCGGCATAAGTTATTACACTCTACTTTTTTATGCTACATATAAGATTCAGTCTAGTAATAATTACTTAGTAATTACCAATATCTGATGGTAATTATTTATACTGTATTATACGGACGTATCCTGTTTTGGAACCGTTATCACACTTTAAATATTTTTTTGTATTATATAAGATTTAGCGTAGGAATAATTACTAGTATCGATGCTCCAGTAGTAATTAATCTTGTGTGGTACAAAAAAAATATTTAAAGTGTGATAACGGTTCCAAAACCGGGATATGTCCGTACAATGATTCCTAATAAAACGTTACTTTTTTTTCTACTTCCGATAGTATTTTTAAAATACTTCTTGAAAGATATGTATCTCAACGATATAGCGAAAAGATTAAGAGAACATACAATCATATAAATTAAGCATCAAATCTAAAATAACACACTGCCGGAAGTTCAATATTCTTCAATTTTTGCGCGATCATATATTATATATTTTGGCACGTAATTTTTATATTTATTGTATGATATTCAATAATTTTTAAGAGTTTAATTTCCGCGCAGTGCCCAGGCTCACGTGCGATCGCAACATAAATCAAACAAAATGTCAGTGCATATACTTCCGGCAAGAGTGTCAGATCAAATCCTGAAATCTTTGCTAGCGTGCCTTTCTAGACGAGACCTCCATCCTCGCTTTATCCCCCGTCAAGGTTGAACTGATTAACAGTCAAACACCACTCGCGATCAGCTCTTCTAGCGAGACCCTTATATTACGAGAAAATTCGAAGGCCTTATTCGGGCTATGTTTATATCATACGGCGACGCGCGACGGTCGGTCTTGCTCGAGTGACCGCCTTATGGCGAGGAAATTCTTGGGCCTTATTTAGCTCGTATTTACCATACATGTGGCACGATTCTGTTCTCCTCTCCCACCCCCTCTGCCTTTTACCTTATCTCGCGACGTTCAAGTAAGGAAATGAACGAACGAGTTTCCTGACTCGTGAAACCCGAATCGCTCTCGCACGCATCTGAAAGTCAGATGTCCTAGGTGTCTTTGTGTTTTCTTCATCCGTGTGACATTAGACTAATCAGACATTTCTGAACGTATCTCTTCTTGAGATTCCTTCGGACGCCTCCACGAGATATCTATTGAAATACACGTATGTCCTGATTCTATATATATGGAATTTATTAGAATCATCGTTGTTAATGTCTATTTTCCAATTTTACGTAATTCGTTTTATCATTATTATTTATGCGAAAAAAATATAATTTCTAATTGATGCGAGAAAGAGAGAAAAAAAAGAATGAGAGATTTGATGACAATAATTTTGACAACATAAAATTTAAAAAAAAAGTGAATAATCTAGGTTCTCTTTCTCTATTGTCCTAGTCGCACGAAAAAATACAGTCGCCCTGTGTGACATCCAGGTGTAGCCTGTCTACACGATGTAGGTAGACGGCTTTCCTCGCTCCATGAAAGTGGCCTCTCTTCAGCGATTCATTACGTACGGCACGCGTAAACATTCCTCGCAAGCAGTCTTGAGGTCTCCCTCTCCCTTCTTCCCTTCCTCTCTCTCTCTCTCTCTCTCTCTCTCTCTCTCTCTCTCTCTCTCTCTCTCCTCTTTCATCTCCTTCGTCCCTGTTCTTCCAACCATTCTTCTTCGTCCATCTTCATGACCCTTGACTTTGGACCGTCAAAGATATTTTCGTAACACTTGCATGGGATCGTGCAAGGCTTTTACACGCACGTCCATTAAGTATTCAGTTAATAATTCATTTCCGAGACGTATTTATTAATTGTTCTCGGATATGATTAATGTTTTACGCACGAATAGCACGAATTAATAAAACGTCAACAAAAATTTATATATTACCTCATCGAATAAAATTCTATATAACTCTGGATATTTAGACTCTCCCCATAGTTCATGCTTGCACACGCACGATTCAACTTGGACCGTTCGTATTTTTACGGAAAATAAAAAAATTTCAAAAAATGTAACATTACAAAATCATTAGCGAATTAATAAACAGCAATCAAATGATTCGAAAGTATATTTTCTCCCGCCGACATAATCGGAGTGATAGTAGCGCCTCTCGCGTAGCCCAGACTCGAGAATGCGTTCAGGTGAGTGGGACGCCTATTTTGAAAGAAGCGACGGTGATCCGCGGCGGTGACAGTGTATATTAAAATGCCATGCGAGCGCGTTCCAGATCGATTCTCGAGCTCTCGCTCTATTCTGCTGCTGGCGACGGAACGGCGCGGCGCGGCGGGCCGGGCCCTGCGCGTGATCGGTACGCGAGATCGAAGGCACGCCGCGTGCATGCATTCGTATTTAATGTCATGCAAACACCATGCAAATTACTACGGAATCCAATCTCTTTTTTCGATACCCCCGCGCGCGTATCGAACTACGCTCCCAGACCTAACATATATGCGTGAACGCATGGAATGTTGTCGACGATATCTGACGTCTTTCCCTCTTGTAACGCACGCACGCGATCGCCGGCACAAAAATTCGCGAAAGCGAATGGGGCTGCTTATAAGAGAAACGCAAAGCACAACAGTTCTAAGCAATTAAGTTTGAAAAAAAAAATTGTTTAAAATACTGAGCCTGTTAGACTATTTTTTTTTTAAATACATTTTCATCTGGATTATAATATTGGGGCGCGAGATGAAAGCTGCAGTTTTGAGGCTGTAATATCCTAACAGCGCGAGATACTAAAAATTGACTCGTCTAAATAGGCCTTTACGCTCGAAAAGACTTACGTTTCGTGATATTCCTCGCATGAGAAAGTAAAACTATTTGAGGTAACTTATCTTGGTAAATCGACCGCTCTACCTTCTTCGTTTCGTATCGGCGAGTTGCGTTTTTCCACGACCCAGTTAGCTATCGGTTAAGGTTTTGGATCAATTAATTATTGCGTGCCCAAAGAGACGTATCGCCGTCACGCTCTCGCGTTGATGCCGATATTACCGTCGTGGCAGGCGAATCGAGGGCCGATTTCGATAGGAATTCATCGCGCGTATCGGCGCTGCATATTGCGGCGCGGCATCATCCGAGTAACACGCATCGCGTAAAGTGATACTTGCTTTCGTGCGATTCGTAAACGTTCAGTACACCGTGTCGCATAATTTATAAATACGGTATACCGACACCGAAGACACTTGAATATTTAATGTACCACCGCGCGACAAAGTACACTTTCACTTATAGAGAGTTGCGGTTCTCTTGCGGGAGAGTAATCGGGCTATATCTATATATACAATTTATATGTGTTTACGATTGAAACAACTAAATTATATTGTTATCTCGCAAATTGAAGATGTCATGGTGAAAATAAGTGGTGCTTCGGAAATTAATCACCCAATATTGAAGTAATACAATACACGCAGAAAAAGGATTAGCTAATGAAGCTAAAATATAGCTATGGCAGCTAAGATGTGTCGTTAAAATAGAGACAGCTAATGTCATTGCTGCCGAAGTTCAATTTATTAGTTATTAAAATGTAAGTGCTACAGCAAAAAATATTTGCTGCTCAAATGATATTTAGCCGAATCTACTATGCAAATTTATCTTCGCAATAGAGTAATAATATTTGCAGTATATAGCTTATATACTGCAAAATACACTGAGAGAAAAATATTTTGAATTTATGACTATAATTGCATGGTAAAAAAATTATGGTAAGGAGCACTATTTTTGTAATTATTATTACTGTAATGTTAGTAATAATAACCTTATATGTATAGTTCTACCAAATATGAAAAAATTTTACTATAAATTGTAATAATTTAAAATATTAATATAGTAAAATATCAAGAAATACATGTGACAAATAAAATAAATATTTTGATGTAGTAAATGCAACTGCAATTGTAATAAGTATAACTATTTTCTTAACATTTGCTTACTATTTATATTGTAATAACTAAAAAATAAGTAAATAAAAAATAATAATATCAATCACAATGTATAACCATAATGGATTGTTAAAGCAGCTATAATGGTTAAATTGATTATAATTTTATAGTTGTTCCCGAAATTCACTATAAATTATAATTAAATTATGGTTATTCTAATTTTTTTTTATATTTTTTTCTTTATATTTTTCTCTCGGTGTATAAATGCTAAATGCGAGCTGTAGATGTGCATATGGCAGTGCCACATTGCAAAAACAATTACAAATCAAATTTTCGCGCGTAGTCATAAACTTAGCTTTGATGTGTGCAAAATGTGTGCATGATAAGACATTTAGATACGCATCTTTTTAGCTGCCTGTACTAATATATACGCTTTTAATTTCAATTAATAAATTTTTTTGTCACAGTGAATATTTTTTATCTGTAGCCAGAACTTAGCAATGACACTAATTGGCGGTAGCTCTTATAGCTAAGTTTGAGCTCAGCTATTGAAATTTAATTACTATTATTAAGTCATTTTTTTGCGTGTAATAATCAGTGAAAAAAGAATTTTTTCTACGTTTGTTATATAAATACAGATAATTAAGAAATATTATATATAAAATCGCACACGTGATAAATGTGTGTGTGTGTGTAATATTAATATTATTAATAAATTCAAGTGGACAATAATACTAACGAATATAATCGAATTATTGCAAACATCTTTCAATTCCACGATCCAATGTGACGAGAAACATAATGAAAGTCTGAAGTATGTAAACCAGCCTTCGAAATCCGACGTCCGCGTCGTTGCGAAAATGGCCTTGATGCGAGAGAGTCACCCACGCACAGATGTATTGTTACTAAATAACTTTAACAGATAGATGTGACACAAGCAAAATCTTCAAATCCTTTATTATCTATTACCCAAAATAGCAATCTAAGAGTATATCTACGTATTTTATAAAACTGTACACGTATAATATCAAAATTATAAAATTAATATTAGAATGGAGAGAAATTTCGTAAAATATAGTATATTATATTTTCATTTTATGTCAAGAAATTTTTGAAAAATCTGTTATGAATTATAGTTATCTGTCTACATTATAATATGCTATGTTCTATTTTCTATTTCAATTAAGATATCGCGTTCCTTTATTAAGAACATTGTCTAATAAGCAACATTTACTCTGATACATCACGGAAATAATTAATTTAAAGAGAAATAAGAAAAAAATGAATATATATTGCAAGGTATAGACGGAAGAAGCGATTAAGATTCAATTTATCTAGATTCAAGGATATCGAGTCATATTATGTATGTATATCAACTAGAACGTAAATATCTATTAAAAGTATCAATAACCGTTGGGGATATTTGTTAACCGTATCCTCTTATCGCTCGCACATCACTCTTTTACGTATTTTATTGACACGCACTTGTGTATCGAGCACGTTTATACGCACTTGCCAGACGTAAAGAAAGCAGGCAATTTGCTCGCGCTCCGAGATAAGAGATCTACCAAATAAATAATCACGATCAGGAACGCGCAAGTGAGCTCATAATGTGCCGTCTTGGGGCAGGGAAGTCGCTGTCGTCTTCGTTAAAGCGCCTTTCCTCTCACGTAGGTATATACATGCGTACGCGCGAACGCGCGTATCGGCTTGCTCTTATAACAAATTGGTGCCGCCCTCGGTAATGGTTTTGCCGTCGTTCGATCAGGCCGACGTTCACGCTCCGTTTACTGCAGGTCACCACGGAGGACCATATACTTAGATGTATCAGTTTCTCGTAGGTCGTAATCGTGATACGTGCAGGCTTCCGTTTTCATTAAACATTCAATTCACTTCTTCAATCCTTTACAGGGAAAAATTAATAATGGGAAATTTTAATTCCCCCCCCCCCCTTTTGATTAACAAGTAATTACCGTTCGTGAGAAAAAGGCCTTGAGTAGTGTCAAATATTTAATTAAGCCTATTAAATGTTATGCTGGCAATTACGTTTACATGCACATTATACCTAAATGATCAATTACAATTTGAAATTTCACGTCTAAACAATATTTAATTTTCCTCCTCCATAAGTCTAAATTTAAATATTAGATTGTAAGCGAAGGCGCATCTCTCTAAATCAAATTGAACATCTGTCTCCTTGCTTTGAGATAAAGAAATTTGGATAAAAATATCATAATAATATAATTTTGTTTGAGATCGTGTCTTTTAGTTCATTGAATTTTTTATGCTATTTTTGAAATTTTAAAAGTAAATGTAATTTATAGACAGGTATTTTTAATATCAATGCAACTATATATTGCAACAATTTCGAAAATTTGTTGCTGTTAATTAAAAGCAACATTTGCGTGATATTAATACTAAAAGTGAATGTATATCACTCGCCTTTAAGCCCGTATGCTCTTACATCTCTAGGAATAACATTGAATAAAATTCCATCGCCTGCTTTTACTGAGCTTTTACGCGTCGTCATGAGGAACTTCGATCTCGTATACGAGGATCAGACGTTCAATTTAATTCGCCACCGGTATGCACTAGCTTGCAATCTCGCGCTTAATATACACTACGTCATCTCGAGAGATCTCCACTGACGTATACCGTGTATTAACGAGGGGAGCCCGATAAATTCTAAACGCGCCAGGATATACGGCGGTCGAAACGATATCACAGCGTAGAATATTCTCGGCCGTAATTACCGTTAATTGATACCGCGCACGGTTTTCTAATAATTAAAACGAACGACGGGATGTAAAAAGTTATCGGCGAACGCGCCCGCGTTTCCCTGAAATCACCAATACGTTGAAATATCTCCAACACGCCCCAATACGATCGTAAATAAGCACGTTCTTCCGTTATCGCGTAATAATGGATACGTTTAATCGTCATAAGAGGTTAATTAGAATATACCGCGCGATAAAATTTCCCGTTTTTAACCCTCAGCGGTATCTCATTTGAGCGTCCAGTTTTTCCGTTGCGCCGAGATCGCGGCGAGACAAATCGCCATTTTGAAAGATAACTACGCGGAATTGGGCAACGTCCGACTCGAGATAATTAAGGCTTGCCATAAGAGGCAGGCTCTATTACGATGCAGACAAGGTCTGGCGCCGCAGCAATAACAATGGCATAAACTAGCGTATAAAAGCAAAACGGAGAATGATAGACTTAGACCAGAGAATAGAATCGTAAGCGTGTGTATATATACGAGATATATATATATATATATACATATATAAAATTATGTACATTACGTTCCCGCAATTGCATATAATCGAGGTCACTTAAATGGAAGTTTTTGTATATTTATGAAAATGATTTCTATACGTATACACTACGTGCAGAATTTCAAATATTACAACAGAAATGTATTTAAAATATTACGACAGAAAATTCATCTTTCCTGACAACTTTATATATTCCTTCTTATAAATTTTAAGAGAAAAAAATTACATGTGATGTGAACGAGAAAGAGAGAAAAAAAGGATAAAGATTAAGAGATAAAAATTATACAGTTGTCAGCAATATTTCAACAATTTTAAGATAGATACACTTTAGAATACTGTATATGCACACATTCCGTGCATTATGCAAATCAGATTCTTTTCTGAACATTTTTTAAAACGTATCTCGAATACTGTCTTCTCCGGAAGGCCAAAGAATCCTCATGAAAGTATTAAGTTACACGGCTCGCGCGCACGAGAACGAAGACTGAGTTTTGCTGCCAGTCAATTATTAAATGGGTAGCTTAGCCGTATCGTACGTAACGCTGCACCTAGTAATCGGGAAAACGAAGACAATGGCCGCCACGCCGTGCCGCAGATAAGGTTAACAGCCTCCATCGCGACACTGCATAAATGTCTCCTACACGCGGCAGTACACCGACCATGCAGCGACGTATGGTATGACTGATGCACATGTGGAAAGAACACGTCCGGTTCGATGCGAGATAACGTCCGTGACGGTAACGAGAAAGGCCGTGTACGATCCCTCCTAAATCTTTTCTGCTTAGAAAAATTAATAAACATTTATTTTATTGCTTATTTTTTCGTGCCACCATAAAAAAATTTTTAACGTTAAAATTTTATTAAATGAAAATGTATATACAGAGGAAAATTACAATTATTACATAATCTTTTCTATAAATATATATGTTTTCTTTAAAAACCTACTTCTCTCTCTTTACAGTTGTGCAGTAAAACTGTAAAAGGAACATTTCAAGTGTATAAAATCAGGTAGACACTGGCGGTATGTATATATTAGGTTTATTTATTTCGAATTAGATTTCGCTGCCATTTTGCCAAGGTATTGGCTGGTACTATTCTATTTTTAACTAGATTATCATTCATTTACATATGTTATTCTAAACACACAGATTAGATAGATATGCCTATAATGTCACTTGACATGGAATTCTTATCAAATAAACTCATTCACATTCACAGTTTAATCCGGGATGGGTCGGATGGAATGGCGAGTGATCAATCTAGGCGTGTTCAACACGCGACGCGACATTGCCAATCAGGCATTGAAGTCTCCTCTTTTCTCGCGACGTCGCGACGCGCGACCAGTAACGGTGGCTGATGTACGACAACAAACGGTGCGCGTGAGGGAAGGAGAACGAGTTTTAGCCGACTTGGAAAAGCGGTGGAAGCGAGATGGAGCGCTTCCTCCTCTTGATAGCGAGTCGATTCGAACCGGTCGCACCGCCATTTTCTCCAAGTTTTTGCCGGCGCGGTCAACGGTTCGCACGGCACGAACTCGCGGCCAACCAGGTCACTCCTCATTCTTCTCAAGTTTGTCGTAAGCCCAGCCGGTGACGTCGCAACGACGCGACGAAGAAATGTTACAACGCAAGTTTCAACTGGCCGAACGTTCCGGTATGCGACTTGATGCACCGCGGCGGGAATTCACCCGAGTGTTCCATGGCGATAGGAATTCGTTAATCAAACGAGGTGACCAGACCATTCGATTAACGGACAACTTATATTATTAGCTCGCGAAGAAAGGCGGCGAAATACTACACAGAAACGACGATTATCATCGTTTGTTTGCGCTTATCAAATAATATTTTGCGTAAAATGTGACTGCAGCAAAATCAAATGCCTATATCTATAGAAATGCCTGTCTAAAAATAAAACATCCGTCCCCCACCCCCCACCCCCCTTCTCCCGCCTTCCCATTAGCTATCCTCAATTTAACTACGTACTTTTAAATAAAGAGTTAAATAATGTCAACGATCCACTTCCTCTGCGCCACTTCATTCTCCTCAAGTATAGTCATTGCCGCAGAGCAAACGTGTCCGCTCGTCGCTTCGCGGCAAGTGCTAAAACGCCCGTTGTGTCCCTAAGACGGCTTGTGTTTCCGAGAACCGACGTTCCGGTATCGAGCATAGACCCAAGAAGTTTGTGTGTCGCATTCCGATCTGCACCACCCAGACCGGTATTAATTACCTAAGTCGATAAGCCGTCGCGCGCGCGCGAGGCGACAAGCTGCGGGCCACCGGTGCGGCGGCGCGCGGCGACAGACGTCGCATTACGGGACTTTTCTGCCGACGCTGTCGCGCAGTAGAAAGGAACTGTCGCGTGATTGCGCCGGCATAAAAGGTGGGTATCTGCAGGCCGATTACGTGGACGTTCGCGGATTAATCTCCGCTCGCCGCGCCGCCGCGAGTAACGCGCGCACGCATCAGCTGCGAGACAGCGAGAAAATGCGAACGAGTGTTGTGCCTCGCGCGCAACAATCCCCTCGGCTTATACTTTTCTTTTTTCATGCACAACATTATTCTTTATGCAACCTTTAAACCCTTACGGTTTCCTTTACGTATCGTGAGCCACGATTTGCCTCTTACCGCGGCATAATGCAAACCATATGCCTCGCGGCTTTGAATTATAATACTTCGAATGTAGGTTTTATCTAGAATGTAACACAATTACTAACGATTACTAACGATAAGCGCATTACCTGTTCCGTAAAACCGATTTTAATCGCAACCTGATTCCGTAACATGGATTCAGAGTTACATCGTTCAAAAAAGAAATATTGAGCACGCTTCGAATGAAAGTATTAAAGCATGAGAATACTTAAGTACTGTACATAATCATTTGCTTTTCGCAAATATGGCAAATTAATTAAAGAATTAATATACATATATAAAGAAAAATAATTATTTTTCTTTATATGAGACTTCACGGAAAGAACGATTTTGCTGGAAGGTCTAAAAATTTTACTAAATACAGATCTGAAAATAATTCTTGTTAAATCATCAAAATAATTTTGTTGGAAAGTCAAAAATGATAAGCATTTTTAACTTTCCAACAAAATTATTTTTATTATAACAAAAATTATTTTCAGATCTGAATCCAGCGAAATCGTTCTTTCCGTGTTCTATAATGTTTGTCTGAAGTTCAGAGCAGGAATTTTTTTGTTAAATTCCCGTTATGCTTTCAGCATTACTCCGATTAGAGTTCTACTTCCCCAGTTTCATTTATATGTTTGCGTTCGCTCCTAATTCATCAAACCCTTCACCTGCAGTCAAAAGGTTCGCCATCGGCAAATATATGATACTGATATAATCCAGCGAGCATTGAAGTCTCCACGGGCCGGCCGGCATACCTTATAAGCAACTTTTGGTGAGTGGGTTAGTCACGAGGAGCACATTTGTCTGTTTGTTCTTCTATTGACACACTTTGCAGGCATGGCGTAACACAGCGCGACCAGAGACGCTCAACCCGATCGCGCGTTACTTTTCGATCGGCCGCCGACTTAAGCGTGTACGGGGGGTCAGCAGCAGCGGCGTGGCGTAGCCAGCCGCGGTAAAGTCCCGTCGCGGTTGAGCCTCTCTGCTCGGTTAACGGTCACCGGCGTTCGTATAACCTGCACTGAATCGCAACACGGTTTGTTCAACTCGAAATCGTCATCGTCGGTTCGCGGCCGTCTCGTCGGTTCACCCGCAAATGGAACTCACAGCCAAGGTGGATAACAACAAGGACGGCCTCGTCGGCGTGTACTGGCCCTATTGTATTCGCGAGATGATGAAAAAGCGTTCCCACACGCCCCACGTGGAAATTTAAGAAAGCCAAGGGAACACGGCGAACGTGACCACTCACTGTCGACCGCATCGATGTTCTATTGTAATTGATACTCGCTCTTTCGGTTTCGGCTGCGTAACAATACGCTGATGTCCTTCATGGGCTTTCGCATCACGAACTTGTAAAATTGCACAATACTTAATTGTTAATTCGTAAAAAAGATCTCGAGACAAAAGTGCGTCTCGAGAAGACACGTGACGACGTTCTTACGAAAGCGCAGATTGCAGCCCCCATCATTCAATTATTATTTCAATTAAGTTTTTAAAACCGATGACTTTTGAATACCGCAAGCACGTGATATACTTCCTCCGTTCGTTTCGTCTGTTATAAATAAAAATGGGACTTTGAATACGTAATAACACGGAATTGCACTTGCTTCTGCAAACGTGTGTCACTTAACGCACCAGGTGCTAAATTTGAAAGTACGTGATTATAATTAAGCGCGCCTACATGTGGATCGGGATAAGCCCAGATACAGGCTGCAGTAACGTGGTGAAAGGATCAGGATTTCCTCCCGAGGATTTGCATACTCGCTTACACGATCGTGTTAGGCGCGCAATTATCCGCAAGCCTCTTAGATTGGGTGGAATGATGGAAAGGTGCTCTTCAAGCGTATCGAGATCGTCGTGGGATCCGAGCAACGCGTACAAACAAAATAGAATTCCAAAAATGTAAAACGGAAATTTATACATGCAATTAAAATATATATGAATATTTAGAAAATAAAATCAATGTGAAATATACAAAGAATCGTTATTTATAGAAACTCTATGGTTTTTTTGCCTCGATATTACATACACTTTAAAATTTTTATTCTATATTTTTGTAAAAATATAATGAATAAAAACCTATAAATATATGTAAGAATGGACTGTAATATTTAAAAAAATAAAAAAATTCTTTACGCGATTTCACTCTGCGTTAAATGTCAGATAAGAAATCGTAAAACGCAAAAAATTTTAACGTTACGAAAGTAGAGAGGGCTCTCGTAACATCTCCGAAACGTGAATTCGGCTTTTGTACATTCGGATCAACGATCTGGCTCCACTGTGCGGCACTCTTGTATATGTATATATAGGATTTACACGCAGCGTGATATTCGGCGCGGCATCGGCAGGAGTGAATTAACGGATGATATATTCGTAACCTGTTTCCATTTTCCCGCAGCACACTAACGGCACGGCGGCCGGTCGTCGTGAATAACGATTTAACTCTCTAGAGGAGAGGTGGGGCATCTCCTCGCGTGGATTTCTACGAAAGTGGCGTAATCGTTCTTTCGGACATAATCGCGCCTGGAAACGTTATCGTTGCATTTTCATTGCATCAAGGCCGTGCCTCGTTTGTAAACCGCGAATTTTTCATTATCATTCAAGTACCATGCGGTAGAAAAGTTTCGCTTTCAGGTCAAACGAGTGTGGGTTATTTATATCATTATTGAGAAACACTGTTTCTCTATTTTAACGCTATTCATTTCTATGAAATATTTATCATATTTATTAATGACGGTAACATCAAACACGTTTTTGCACTTTTATTTTAAGGTAATAGAAAGAAATGTAATCTTAAGAACTAATGTATACTTTATGAATATCTAGAATAAAAATTGAAAAGGAAAAATTTGCATTAAACGTTATCCCAAAAAAAATTCCTTATAATGTTTACAATTTTTTATCAATCTTACTTTTAATTACAAAATTGTTCCTATTTCAAATTTTTTTTTTAATAGAAAACAAATACGAAGATAAATTTTATTTTAAAATTTATCCTGAAAATCATGTTAATCATAGAACAACATTTTGTTAATCGTGGGGCAACATAGTATTTCGACGAATTTTATATAATTTTCACTACTTTTTTTTTAAATATATACTACAAATTTATTGTAGGGTACAGTAAGATTTGTCGAAATACTATGTTGTCCCACGATTAACAAAATTTTCAGGATAAATTTTCTCCGTGTAGGGAATTGAGTAAAGAAAATTTTGAAAGATGAGTAGCTATGTGAAAAGCGATAGGAAGGATCTGTCACGTCAATCCGTGCATCGAGGCATGCATCGTGACTTGTTCGAGCGCTATCGAACAAGTGACCTTAACAGGATAACGCGCGCGCCCATTATTACGCGGCGAAGCGGTATATATTATCTGTTCACAGCACCGTCGGTGCATCGAAACACAAAAGGTTACTAGGTTTCGTATTATGTAACCGCCTCGTCACTCCTTTATTCCGAGGCGTGATTTTCTTCAAATTCGATTCTAACATGCACGAGTGCCAAGAACGTTAGATATTTAATTCTGATATTGCGATTCAAGTTCAACATTGCGATTTATGAAAATTTTTGCAATTTTAATATTGAAAAATAAATTAAATTTAATGTATTGTTAAATTGATTCATGAATATTACGATAATAATAATACAAAAGAAAAAATTTTTCTTTTTACATTCCGCACATTACTAACTTCGTAGCGAGTTAAAATTTTATTTATGTCGAAATATATTGAATCAATTATATGTATCATGTAATATCGATTATATAATATCATAATTGATGTGGAAGATGTAAACATTTTCATTTTCGTTCAGTTTAAAGAATGCATTAATTTAACATAAACTCTGTTCAGAATTTATTTTAGGAATAGTAAGTTAGAAATAAATGCAAAATTTTGTATCTTCTCTGTATATATTCGATCGTGATAGTCGAGATATATCGAGGCTTTAAATTCTTCTCTTACGTAAGAGACGATGTATAACCAAACCGCAAACCCATGGCCGCGACGGAGCCAAATTAATTCAGAAGCTCCCCCGTCGTTTTTATTCGCAAGTTAATAACCTCGGACCGACAAGTTTTTAGAACGTAACTTGTAGCTGGACGAGAGCAACCGAGCCAGCTCGAAGAGCGAAGTTCTCAAACTCCATTCGCCTCGCTCGTTCTTTTTCACTAAATCGCCGCTGCCTACTTGCGCTTCTTCCTGTAGGCTATCAATTGTTTTGCGCCTGCGAAATCATTCCTCTATTTCCTACCACGTATTCACAGACGGCGAACGTATCATGGAAAATTCTCGCGTCGTCCTTG